ATGCAACTGGGCAGCTTGAGGTTGTGACTGTCTTCAGTGCGCCCAACTACTGCGACGCCTACAAAAACATGGGTGCCATCGTATTCTACGACCAAGGCGTACAGGAAATCAGCCAATTCACAGCTGTCCGCCATCCGTACGTTCTGAGTGGATTCCAGGACGGAATAACCTGGTCATTTCCATTTTTGGCTGAAAAAGTGCTCCAATTCACTTTGGACCTGCTGAACCACGGATCGAGTCTGAAGAGCTGCTCCTCGACGCAGAGCTCAAACAACGAGGATATCACGGACATCTTTGCCTCGATTATCGGTGATACGACTGATCTGCTGCAGAAGGAGGACGATTTGATGAAGAAGGTTGTTTTGATGAGGACTGAAAGGGAATGCATCGACGAGTTTGCTGATGAGGAGTCAGCCGTAGATTGTTGCAATTTGGAAGCAAAGGAGATGGACGACCTGAATTTTGGAGAGGCCAAGGACCAGGACAGGGTGAACGAGGAGGCTGTTTCCACGCCCAAGTTGCAGTCGCAGCAGCTGACACTGAATCTGTCGCCTTCTTTGGCCAATTCAGCAATCATTGGCGTAGTCAAAGGCAACGAAGATGTTGTGATAAAAAAGAGTGAAGGAATTGAAGAGATTGTGAACTACAAAATAGCAGATGATCAAAATGGACTAATTGATCAAAATAGGCAAAATGAATCAAATAGGCAAAATGAGCAAAATGAATCAAATAAGCAAACCAGTACAATCAAACAGAACAAGAGGAAACGTAGCCCATGGTACTGTTTCTGGTGTGCGTATTGAACTGATGATCAGTTAGTTCTTAGGTGGCTTGAATGTCTTTGGTACGTTTCCCTTTGCCTTGTGGTATCTCAGAAGGCGGTGCAGTCGCGAGTTCACCAGATTCAGCCTGTATCTTGCATCGGTGTCCTTCTTGTGGACTGAGAGGTGGAGCCTGATCTGGGCTGCCTTCTCCATCAGCGCAGCCAGATCCTCTGGAAACGTGGCCTCTGCCCCGTGCTTCTTCAGAAACTGCAGCAACGAGCATCCAAGCACCATCTCAGCCGATCCAATTTCATGTGAATCCCTGAGTGTCTTCCCAATGTGAGACGGCTGAATTCCCCTCTTTGCGGCAGCCAGAACAATCTGCTCTATCTCGCCCACCGTCTTTCCCAGGTGTGTTGGAACTGTCACCGTGAATGGCCTCATTGATGCAGCCTGTCCCTTTCCAAATGAATGCATTCTTCCCATACGTGGGTAAAATTTGACAAAAATTCATAGGCGAATGAGACTGCCTGATTTGGCTGAAGAAGCAGAGTGACCAGAATGAGTCAAAATACTCTTCTACCAAAATACGCCTAAATTCATAGGTGACATTTTTGTGACCCCGAATGTACGAAGAGCTCATTGCATTTCTGTTGGGGAAGAAAGAGGACTTCACTGACGAGGATTTGAACGAGTTTCTGAGGCTGCTTGCTGAGACACTTTCAGTGGCACCGGAGTACGAGATGTTTGAGAAGCAGGCGATTGTGGAGAGCATGATGGATCG